AGATGAGTGAGTGCCTTCTGTGACGCCTCACTTTCTTGAAAGATTTCAATTTTTATTCCATCAATTCCTGGTGTCTTGTTCTTTGCCAATTCTTTCAATGCACCTTGGACTTCCTCCTTCAGTATCATTGGTTCTTGATCATATGCTACCTCTTGAAATGGTTGAACATCAACCATGCCCTTTTGATACTGTGACTCTGTGTATTCCTTCCATCTTCTCTTGATGCTTTCTGCATCATTCAATAATTTGCCCAGAGAATCTTTCAGTAATGAAAGCCGAGGCTTCCATTTTCTCTTCAATTCCCCCAGCTTGAGAAATACTGAGCGTGTTCTTCCTTTTTGGTTTTCTGACTCCAGATATTTGCACATTTTTTGTAATATTTGGCTTTATCTTCTCGAGCTGATCTTTGAAATTTTCTGTTAAACTCTTGGATCTCCTCATTTCTTCCATTGGCTTTAGCATCTCTACGACAGAGAGCAAGTTTCACTGTCTTTTCTGACATCCATTTTTACCTTTTCCTTCTTTCTTGTCTTCTTAATGACTGTTTGCTTTCTTCATATATGATGTTCTTGAGGTCATCCCTCAACTCTTCTGGTGTTCAGTCTTTAGAGTTTACTGTATCAAATCTGTTCTTCAGATGATCTCTAAATTCAGGTGGGATATATTCAAGGTCATATTTTGGGTCTTGTGGGCTTGCTTTCATTTCTTCAGCTTCAGTTTGAATTTGCATGTAATTGATGGTCTGTTCCACATTCTGCCCCTGGCATTATTTTGACTGATCATATGGAGTTTTTCCATCATCTCTTTCTGCAGATGTAGTCAATTTGTTTTCTGTGTATTCCATCTGGTGAGATCCATGTGTATAGTCTTCTCTTATGCTGTGTAAAGAAGGTATTTGAAATGAACAAATCATTGATTTTGCAGAATTCTATCGTGCATTCTCCAGCATTATTTCTATCACCAAGGCCATATTTTCCAACTACTGGTCCTTCCTCTTTGCTCCCAACCTTTGCATTCCAATCACCAGTAATGATCAATACATGTTCATTGCATATTTGATTGATTTCATATTGAAAAAGTTGGAAGAATTCTTCTATTTCATCTTCACTGGCTTTAGTGGTTAGTGTGTAAATTTGAATAATAGTGGTATTAACTGGTCTTCCTGGTAGGCATATGGATATTATCCTATCACAGACAGCGTTGTACCTCATGACTGATCTGGATATGCTTTTTTTTTTTACAATGAATGCAACACCATTCTTCTTCAATTTGTCATTTCCTGCATAGTAAACCATGTGGTCATCAGATTCAAAATGGCCAGTACCTGTCCATTTCAGCTCACTAATGCCTAACATGTGGATGTTTATGCATTCTATTTTATTTTTGACAACTTCCAATTTTCCCAGATCCATACTTCGTACATTCCATATTCTGATTTTCAATGGATGTTTACACCTGTTTCTCTTCATTTTGAGTTGTGCCCCATCAGCAAATGAAGGTCCCGCGGGCTTTTCTCCCACAGACTTTACTCCTTTTGCATCATCACTGTCAACTCTACTTTGAGGAGGCAGCTCCTTCCCCAGTCGCATTTTGAGTGATTTCCAACCTGAGGGGCTCATTTTCTGGCTCTATATTTGACAGGTTTCTCTGCTGTTCATAAGGTTTCCAGTGACTAAATATTCGGAAGTAGTTCGTCACTCTGTCTTCCTAGTCTATCTTAGTCTGGAAGCTCACTGAAACCTGTCCACCATGGGTGACCCTGCTGGTATTTAAAATACCTGTGGCATAGCTTCCAGAATCACAGCAACCCACAAGCCACCACAATACAACAAACTGACCGATGGGTGGTGGTATGAGTTCATGCATAACAACAATTATGAGGATGGTACAGGACTGGGCAGTGTTTCATTCTATTGTGCATTGGGTCACTATTAATTGGAACTGATTTAACAGTATCTAACAGCAACAAAGAAAGTAAGATCCACAAATTTTTCAGATTTGTTTTTCTTTTTGATGTTCTCAGTGACACTAAGACATTATGAAATAAAAGTATGAGTATACTTTGAGTATACCAGTAAAAGAAACTGGTCTGATAAATTTTATAGCAGTAGTTGTTGTTAAGTACCATTGAGTTGGTTCCAACCCATAGCAACCCTGTATAGGGTTTCTGAGAAACAACTGATGAGCTTGAACCGAGGACTTTGCGGTTCAAACCGACCTTGCAGTCCAGATCATTAACCCACAGCGCCACAACAGTAATTAACAGTTTAGGTTGGCAGAGGTAAATCTCAAATTTCTGAAAACCAGAAGGTACTATTCTTTTGCCATTCTTGTTGGCAGAAGTTGTTTTAGGAAAGAAAATATTTTTTTTTAAAGTTAATGTTAATAAGAAAAACTTGATCCAAAAGAAAACAGTAATCTAGAGTTGTTATAATTCCAGAATATAAACATGATCTGAATCTGAAGTATGATCTCCAAATGCATTACTTTGCTACTTGCATTTGATAAGCTTCAGTTCTCTATAAGGAACCAACCTCCTCTTGTAGATATAGTTACTGCTTATAGAAAAGTGTCAGAGCTTAGCAAAGCTAGAAATAGACTAAGTGCAAAGGTATTTATAGGTAATGTTTTGCTTTAGGTTTTACACACTGTGAAACTCAAGATTTTCTGTGCCATTTCTCTGCCATTTTAATTAGATTCATCGTGTTTTAGATCACCTGGTTTAATACTTATCAGCAATAATACTGAAATCTACATACCCACAAAATAATATCATTCAACTCTCTGTCTTTACAAATTAGGAAACTCAGCTCAAGAAAAGTTAAATAACTTTGGGTTATTTACAGGAGACAAGTTGACATTTGGACATCCAATATATTTCTGTGTCCAATGTGCCGTTCCAGGGTCCTGGGTGTGGTACTGTAGGATAAGCACTGGACTGCTAACCAAAAGATTGGCAGTTCAAACCCACCAGCCACTCCTCAGAAACTCTATTCAGGGGCTCTTTGAGTCAGAACCAACTTGATGGCACTTAACAACAACAACAAATATGCCATTCATTCTTTTCTTATTTGTAAAACATTTGCCTCATATCTACAATCTCAAAATGGGGTAAAAATTAAGTAAATGATGCTCTCACCTTGATGCTTGGAGTGCAGAAAACACTTGCATTTTATTGACCTGATTGTATGTTATATGATTATATTTTAAAGTGTATCCACATTTGGTGACCGTTAGGCAATTAATGATTTATTAAGCCCCAGACAAGTCTGTCAACCTTGTTCAAATTCACCACTTTTCCAAACACCTGGAAGAAACACCAAAATCTTTGAACAGTGACCTATTGGACACAAAGCCTAAGCCTGTGGTTTATTTATTCTTATTTATTTTCTTTTTCATTCTAGGAACATGAGTTCTGCTGGTCCTGATGGGAGGAAAGTGATGAGAAGGTGTGATGGGCTGATTGACTCCTTGGTCCATTATGTCAGAGGGACCATCGCAGATTACCAACCAGACGACAAAGTAATTCCAAAGTTAAAGATCTCACATACCGAGTTCACTATTTTGTCTTACTAAGACAGCATATAGTAGCTGTGTGGGTTTAAATTTGGTCACTGACATATTTACTGAATTCAAAATTTCCCATACTGCATCAAAATATTAAAATCTATCTTGTTCCATTTTTCTATTTTCCAGACCCAGAATTTCAGCTGTCTAATTATTTTATCTAGATATTGAAAGGAGGCCAGATTCTACATGTTTAGGAATGAATTTAGACTCATCTCTTGCCCCTTCCTCAAACTTGCTCTTCTCTGTATAGCCAACCCTTCTTAATAATTGTTGCTATCCACTAAATGAAAGTAGATATCTGAGTAATCTTGGATGGCTTCTCCTTTCTCACATATCCACTGGGTAGCAATTCATTCATATTCTACTTCTGAAATGTCTTTTAGTTCATCACTGCTCCATGGTGTTACTGCTGCTGTCCTTCTGTATGAACCTTTCATACTAATTATCACAATAAACTACTAATTGGTTTCTGAAAGCATGTCTTCTCCTAATCTCTCCCTCCACTTAAGTACTAAGTATGTCTCTAAAACATAAGGTCATTCTGTATACACTCTCTAAAAAGTAAACTAGACTTCACTGTTACAAAAGGAAAATCAGCCCCTACTCCTTAGCATTGTGTTCATGAGTATTCATGATCTTGGCTTAGCCTTTCTAGCCAAACTTATTCCACTCTCCGCAAGCCCCCACAGTTCAAGCGCATCGAATTCCAACCCGTAAACCCTGTAAGATCAAAGGCTTAGTACATAGTGTGACATCACACTTGCGAAAAGATTACCTGTATGTATTTAATCAACATTCATATCCTTCTCCCCCAGGCCACAGAAAACTCTGTATGCGTTCTTCATAATCTCTCCTACCAGCTGGAGGCAGAGCTCCCAGAGAAGTATTCTCAGAGTATCTATATTCAAAACCGGAATATCCAGACTGACAACAACAAAAGTATTGGGTGTTTTGGCAGTCGAAGCAGGAAAGTGAAAGAGGTATATTGGAAGGATTTTGAGAGAGACTGTGCGTGTGTGCGTGTGTGTTTGTGTGTGCACGTGTACGTACCCACATACGTGCATTTCTGAGTACTTAGAATATGTCAGGCACTATTTTAAATGCTTTAAATTCTTACATCAACTCTATGAACTATCTCTTAATAATACCATCATTTATTGATGAGAAAACAGTGGTACAGAAAAGTTGCTTATTTGGTCCCAAAATAAGTCAGCAAATAAGTGTTGTTGTTGTTGTTAAGTGTCATTAAGTCAGTTCCAACACTGTATAGGGTTGTGACCTGTATAGAGTTTCTGAGGAGCAGCTGGTATGCTTGAACTGTCGACTTTGTGGTTCAAACCGACTTTGCAATCCAGCCAGCACATTAACCCACAGCATCATACAAAGTTATAATATTAGTTCATGGGCAATCCAACTCCATGTTTTCATTTTCAACCATTAAACCATACTACTAGATGTCCTATCAATTAGGAAATAAGCTTAATGTCACATACAATAGTATATACCTTGACAATAAAATTATAGGCTTTGACATTAAAAGCAGCCTTGCTCAACATTTGCCTGAGGACAAAGTTGAGAAGGGATGGGAAGGTGGGGAGAAAGGAGATAGTAACCACAGTAAGGTGGGATAACTGTCATTGCATGGAGGGAACTACAGTCATTGAGATGAAACAAAGTGTATGATTTGTGAAACATAAAACTGATGATCTTGTCTGTAAACCTTCACTCAATTCACAATAAAAAGTTTTTTTAAAAAAAAACACAAAAATCAACAGCCTTGTTAATGAGCTTTAGACATTCTGAAAACACTTTGGCTGTTCTAAAAGTAAACCATATATGAAAGAGTGCATATTTGTTTCCAAACTGGCATGGAAACTGAAAGAATGTGACCTTCCCTCCTACTTCTCTGAGTATCAGGGTATTCATGAACTCAGAGAACAACTGGTAAATTTAGAACACTGATGCTATCCCGAACAACTTCACAAGAGTCTGAGGGAACAGACCTGTTTTTCTTATCTTCATGGTGGTTGTGACTAATTTAGCTTTTAGCTTAACAGCAGGCTGAAATGATTCTAGAATAGCCTATGCTTAATTCTCTGAGCTCTTTCTCACTGTGAAATATAAAATGGAGAGGGAGAGAGAGCTGTTAGGAGACATAATCACCATGGGCTAAAAGTGAAGTGATTAGAACTCATACATACTTTTTATTTTATTTCAAGGGGCTCTTGTTCTGCATATTATTAGTCTTTGTAGACAAGGTAGTATTTCTTGTCTCTTGGGTGGGTTATGGAATTGTTGGCATCATTTGAGGCCCATTAACTTTGGATTCCATTGTATGTGTGGTTAGCAATTGCAGGACATGCCTATGCCAGAGGAAAAGAGTAACCCCAAGGGAGTGGAGTGGCTGTGGCACTCCATCGTGATAAGGATGTATCTGTCCTTGATCGCCAAGAGTGTCCGAAACTACACACAGGAAGCCTCTTTGGGAGCACTCCAGAATCTCACAGCAGGAAGTGGACCAGTAAGTATCATGCTTATTTTTGTACTTTTTAAAATAATAACACTGTCAACGTACCTCTAGAAGTTCCAGATATAAAATAGTTAAGAGCAAAAGTTTACTCAAGACAGGTCTCATAAATTGCCAGACAATGTTTCAGCTTCTAGGACCTTCAGCCTCTGCTCTGTAAAACCAAGCCAGACTGGGAGTGGAACCCTCATATAATGCTGTAGTTTTTTTGTGTTGTTGTTTTTTTTTTTTTTTTTTGCAAATAGCGCACCCACGTAAGTAACATGCACACATACAAAAGTAGGAGAAATAATGAAACTGTAAAAGTTCTCACATAATAGACACATGCATACAACATGCATGTCTACTGGCATTTCTGGAAGTGAATTTTGGCCTTGTTCATGAGCATTCACTGTAGGATAAGCACTGAACTGCTAATCACACTAATTGCAAAGTCTACAGTTCAAATCCACCATCTGCTCTCGGATATACCATACAGGGTCACTATAAATTGGTACCAACTCAATGGCACACAAGAACAACATGTTCATTCGATAGTTCATTCAATAGTCTGAAAATGTTACTTTTGATCAAATTTTTATAATAAAGGTATGCGCCATGGTCAAGAAGTCATGGGTCAAGTTTGGTAATACTCTGGTAATCAGGGAAAAAAAAATCACTGAAACTGCATTTGCTCTGGGGCAGTTTGCAGCCAGGCCTGAGAGCAGTAGTGTTCCTTGTAGCCAGCCTGCACCGCACCCAGTGACTTAGCACAGGAGACAGGCAAAGGATAAGGCAGGGGATTGTGTACAGAGCTGTCATAGCCAGAGCATAGGAGGATAGGTGGGTGGGGCCCATGGTGCCAGTCCCACAGGAAACTAGGCTTGCAGGGTGGTGTGGGAGTGGCATGAACTACCCAAGGCCTGTGGGGAAGCCTTCAGGCAGCCAGTCAAACCTGTCTCTTCAGAACAGGGAACTCTAAACCGCTCTATCTGTGAGTCTCATACCTGCCCTGCAGCATCCACACAGACGAGAGATAGAAATAACCCAGGCATGGCAGCCAGCTGGCCAGTGAGGCCGAATGTCATGGCTGTGGAACACCTGCCTCACCTGCCTGAGTGGCCTCTCCAACCCCAGGTGCACAGACCCACACACCTCCTGGACAGAGACTGGCTGCTCTGGTGGGGGCTGTTTCCAGGTATCTTAATACTACGTAAGAATACAGCCAAGTTTTCATCTCTTTGGTTTTCACCAAAATACATTTGTACACAAAGAAGTGAGGATCTACCAGCCACTCCTCCAAAACCCTGTACAGGATCACTTTGACTTAGAACCAACTCAGTGGTGCTAAACAACAAGGTCAGGCAGAAGCTGAAGAAGATTAAAACAAGTCCATGAGAGCCAAATTATGGCATTAAGTATATCCCAACCTGAATTTAGAGACCATCTCAAGAACAGATTTGATGCATTAGACAGTAATGACTGAAGTCCAGAGAAGTTTGGGGATGACATCAAGAACATCATACATGAAGAATACAGAAGATCATTAGAAAGACAGAAAAGAAAGAAAAAACAAAGTAGATGTCAGAAGAGACTTTGAAACTTGCTCCTGAACATAGGGTAGCTAAATTGAATGGAAGAAGTAATGCAGTGTAAGAGCTGAACGTAAAATTTCAAAGGGCAGCTCAAGAAGATAAAATATTACAATGAAATGTGAAAGGACCTGGAATTAAAAAACCAAAAAAGAAGAACATGCTCAGCATTTTTTAAGCTGAAAGACTGAAGAAAAAAAAAAATCAACTCTTGAGTTGTAATATCAAAGAATTATATGAGAAAAATATTGAATGATGCAGGAAGCTTCAAAAGAAAATGGAAGGAGTATGCAGAGTCAGTGTGTCAGAAAGAATTGGTTGATATTCAGTCATTTGAGGAGGTAGCATTTAATCAAGAATCGATGGTATTGAAAGAAGAAGTCCAAGCTGCACTGAAGGCATTAGCAAAATATAAGGCTGTAGGAATTGTCAGAATACCAATTTAAATGTTTCAACAAACTGATACAGTACTTGAGACTCTAACTAGTCTGTGCCAAAAAAATTTGAAAGACAGGTACCTGGCCAACTGACCGAAGGAGAGCTATATTTGTGTCAGTTCCAAAGAAAGGTGACCCAACAGAATGCGGAAATTACCTAACAATAGCATTAATATAAACATTCGAGGACTTGGAATGAGGGATATCATTACTGACGTCAAGCGGATCTTGTCTGAAAGCAGAGAATGCCAGAAAGATGTTTACTTGGCTTTTATTAACTATGCAAAGGCATTCAGCTGCTTGGATCATAACAAACTATGGATAGCATTGTAAAGAATGGAAATTCCATAGCACTTAATTGTGCTCATGTAGAACCTCCATATAGAATAAGAAGCAGTCATTCAAACAGAACAAGGGGAAACTAAATGATTTAAAATCAGGAAAGGTGTGCATCAGGGTTGTATCGTTTCACTATACTTATTAAATCTATATGCTGAGCAAATAATAGAAGAAGCTGTACTATAAGAAGAAGAACATGCCGTCAGGATTGACGGAAGGCTCATTAACACTTTGAGATATGCAGATGACACCACCTCGCTTGCAGAAAGTGAAGAGGACTTGAGGCATTTGCTAATGAAACCCAAAGAATATAACCTTCAGTGTGGATTACAGTTCAATGTAAAGAAAACAAAAATCCTCACAACTGGACCAATAAAGCTAGATCGTGGTAAGCAGAGAAAAGATTGTCAATGATTTCATTTTATTGGGATCACCAATTAATACTCATGGAAGCAATAATAAATCACATAACCTATTATTGCATTGGGCATATCTGCTTCAAAAGACCTCTTTAGAGTATTAAAGAACAAAGATGTTACTCATGGCAATCCCATGCACAACAGAAGGAAACACTACCCAATCCTATACCATCTTACAATCATTGCTATATTTGAGCCCATAGTTGCAGCCACTGTGTCCGTCCATCTCACTGGGGGTCTTACTCTTTTTTGCTGATCCTCTACTTTACCAGGAGTCCTGGTATGGTGCTGCAGGATAAGCACTAGGCTGATAAAGCACAAGGTCACCAGTTCAAACCCACCAGCCATTCCTCAGAAACCCTATACAGGATTGCTATGAGTTGGAACTGACTTGACAGCTCTTAACAACAGTAACTACTTTACCAAAGAGGATGTCCTTCTCCTAAGTACTGGTCCCTCCTGACAGCATGTCCAAAGTAAGGAAGATTCAAGTCTCACTATCCTTATTTGTAAGGAACACTTTGGCTATATTTCTTTCAAAATAGATTTGTTCATTCTTCTGACAGTCCATTGTTGTTAAGTGCTATCAAGTATATTTGATATTTTTCACCAATGCATCAATTCTGCTTCACTCTTTCTTATTCATTGTCCAGCTTTCACGTGTACATGAGGTGATTGAAAATACCTGGCTTTGGTCAGGTGCACCTTGGTCCTCAAGGTAACATTAACTTTTGAACGTTTTAAAGAGATCTTTGCAGCAAATTTGCTCAATGTAAGACATTGTTTTATTTCTTAACCACTGCTTCCATTGGGCACTGATTGGGGATTGGAGTAAGGTAGCCTCTGTTGTTAAAGTGTTGTCAAGTCGGTTTTGACTCATAGCGATCCTGTGTAGGGTTTCCACCACTAAGCTGTAAAGGCAGGGAGACTGATCCTACTCTAGAACCTTCATAGGGAATGCAACTCTGCTGGAACCTTGATCTTTTTCCTTTAACGCCCTATACAGACTTCAGACCTCCAGAACTGTAAGATAATAAATTTATGTTGTTTAGAACCATTGAGTTTGAGCTAATTGATTAGGACAACAATGTAACACCCTGTGTACAACAGAATGAAACACTGTCTAGTCCTGTGCCATTCTCACAACTGTTATGTTTGAGCCTGTTGCTCTCTAGTTGTTGTTGTTGTTGTTGTTGTTGTCAAGTTCCAGGGAGTTGTTCTGACTCATAGCAACTCTGTATAGGGTCTCCAAGTGGGTTTAAATCACTTCACATGCCAGTGCTTATCTTACAGCACTGCACCGCAAATTAGCACATTAAAGGTTAAAAGCAGTTGACATAAACTATTTTAAAGCTCCTAAAACACATTAAAAGCACTTAATCTAATATCCATTTGGAAAAAAAAGGAGGTTAACCTCTAGCCTTAAACCTTACTCCAAAATGAATTCTAACTGGGTTGAGATTTGAATGTAGAAAGTAAAATAATTAAGTTTCTAAATAATTACATCAAAGAATATCTGAATTATCTGGGAGAAAGATTTCTTGAAAACGTACACTAAAAGCACTAGCCACAGAATAGATATTTCATAAACTGGATTACATTAAACTTAAGAATTTATGCTATCAAAAGACATTCTTAAGAGAGCAATAAAAGTGGTAAACGAACCAGAGCGTGCAAGAGATGTTTACAACACATAAAACTAACAAATGCTTGTATACAGAAAATATAGGAGGCTAATCAATTTGAAAATAAAAAAGATAGACACTTCTCAGAATAAATAGAGAAATGACCAGTAACATTTGAAAAAGGGTTCAACCTCAACAATAATTAAAGCAATCTGAATTAGAAGTGTTACTTACAAAACAGTGGACCAACTAATGAACAGTCATTCTCAGATAGTTCCCTGAACTGGAGTACAAAATCTCCGTCAGATCTGTTTATTTTCCTTACAGCAAACTCTAAAGACTGTCCCAATTCTGACTCTCCTATTTCCTTCATTGAATCTGAATGAATAAAGCTTTGCTGTACTTTCTTCTAACTTAGCAAATGTCATCTGAGGGCCCAGACTTCTAGACTGAGTGTTTTCAATTATAATTTTTATAAATTAACATCAAACCTCTTTATTAACACAGCTGAACTTATTTAAAAGCATGGTAGATACATAGTGGTACAGTGAGTTACTTAATATGGTCCTGTTCACCACAGTGTGTGTGACTTACACATAGTGA